AAAACATAAGAACTTTTAAAAACATTAATTTGATACTGATATCGATATTATTTTTTAAATTTTATGATATTTTTAAATTTATATTTTATTCAAAAATAAAAATATTATCGTTTTTTTCGAAACCCACATAAAACCGTGTTATATCGACATAAAAAAAGAATAAAACAAAACATTGAAATTACAATGTATTTCGATATATTGCACAAGTATCTTTTTAATAATAATTAAATGAATTTGATGTTTTATAGATTTGAAAGATTACACGATTTCAAAATATCTAACATATTTTGTGCCATTACCATTCCCCTAAATGACAAATATACTTTTATTTTATTTCTAAATTGTTTATCGCAAAATCACTCTATTTTCACTTTTACGAGCTTACTTGTTTTGAAATAAATTTTATATAGACTTTAAAAAATCTTATGATTTAACGACAAAAATGATGCCTGATTGGTTTAAGCTTTGTTCCAAAGGTCAAATATTATATTTAAATTATTAACACATTTTATTATCTATAAAACAAAATAAATATAATTTTAATTTTTATGTTACATAAACATCATTTTATTTATTTTCAAATAAATGGACATGAATAATAGTTTGGTTCTCTTCAATTGCATTTGTGAATATTCATTTATTTAATTAAATTAAATTATTAGAATTTTTGTGTATCCTTCCTAAGTTTTCCCATTTTTCATTTTGATATGTTGTTTTTTAAAAACAATATGATGAGTAATGGCATTTGTATTTTATTGGTTTGTGTTTGTTTATTTATGTTCATTCATTTTGTGTTATTTAGCATCATAACAAACAAATATAACGAATATGTACAAATACATTTTAATAACAAACAAATATGAACACAGGAAATTCCGTTTATACATGTATCTTTGTTTGTTATCTTATTCATAGAGTAAGGGGCCGTTTACCTAAACACTTACGCTGTAAGCATTAACGGTAAAATTCAACTTTATTGCATACTTATTGGGTAAGATTTTAGTCTACCAAAACAACAACATATGTAACAATTCACCCAGTAAGCACTAGCAGTGGTAAGAGTTGTCGCAATTACTTACCGCGTAAGATCCTTGGTCCTTGCCGTATTAATCCGGTAAAGAAATATGACTTGATAAATGCTTACCCGAAAAAACATTTGGTAAACGACCCGTGAAAGCCTAGATGTAACATATCTAAAAAACAATGGAACAGTTACTTACAGATTGTGCTTCAATGACTTCTATGCACAACCATTTGTTGTTTCTTACCATCACATTATACCACCAGTTTATTGCATTTTTGCATTTGAACCTCCTCCTTTAGAATTGCAAAAAGTTGAACTCAAATGGGGAAAAAATGGAACACGACAATAAGGTTGTAATCAGGCATCAATTGCTTCATTAGATCCTATTTTCATGGGACAATCAAAAGGGTTTGTAGACAATACCAAAATCTCAATGCCATATTTCCTAATACATAACTTACTTGGATTGGATCAAGTATCAAACGCCAGTTGATCCAAACCCACCTGCACCCCTTTCTGTTGAATCCAGATCATCAACCTCCATCACTTCAGGAGTGATGATCTTCTCGATGATCAATTGTGCAATTCGATCACCGCATTTCACTTCAAAATCAGCATCAGAATGGTTGAACAAAATCACCCCAACCGGACCACGGTAGTCTGCATCAATCACACCTGCCCCAACATCGATTGAATGCTTCCATGTCAGACCCGATCTCGGAGCTACAAAAAACGAACAAATAAACCCTAATTTGTTATAATTTGTAAAAAAATTGGTCATATAGATAGTTATTAAAGTTCGTACCGATTCGAGCATATGTTCCTTCTGGCACTGCTATGCTTAGATCTGTGGGAACCAGTGCTTTACCCCTTGCTGGTACTTTTGTTTCGGTTGCACTGGATCAAAGACGAATCGAAAATTGAATAAAAAATCGTATGAAATGAAACTAGATTTCATTCTCCGTCGATTTAATCGAATATGAGTAGATTTTCAGAACGAACTTTGTGATTTTCAGGAAACAATTCAAAATTATACGCAACCAGTCGATTTCAGTCTTATTACTAAGATCTGGTTATGGATTTCGAAAGAAAAAATGGAGCAATTTACATACCTTGAAAGATCGTAACCAGCAGCAAGAGATGAACCTCTGGAAGGCAAAACGGCTTTCTCCGATAGCTTCTTCACTTTGAAAATGGGGAGTTCGTTTCCACTCCGATCCTCGAGTTTCCGGATCTTTCGTTTCGGTTCTTGGATTTCAGGGCCGCCGTTAAGGTTTTCTGCCATGGCTGAAACAAGTGGAAGGAAGGATGATTTAGATGAGCAGTTGAACAGAGAAGGTCGAAACTGATGAAAATAGAGACGGTTGTAGGGTTTATAAGGTCTAAAAATGGCCGCCAAAGAGAGAGCGTCTGATATGGCGCCAAGAGTTCCCGCCATATTTATCCCCAGCTGCAATGCCATGAGCCCATGATGTTCTATCTCCTTTGTATACTTCTATAAATTCAAAAAAAAAAAATTAGTTTTAGATTTTAATTCAGAGTTATATGTTTATGCGTCAAACAAAAAAAAAAGTTTAAATAAATTAATTTGTAATTTGGGTAAAAATTGATTACTGCTGGGAATGTCTAAAAATCTGATCAACCCGATCCGAAGGTAGTGTTTGGTAATTGGTATGCAAACTGGATGAGATAGGACGGGACGATACGGGACAGGACAGGACGGGACGGGACAAGACTAATTGTCTGTCCTATGTTTGGTACGACTAAGACATGACATGACAAAACTATTAAAATGACCATATTACCCCTAAATGTTGTTCAATGTTATATAATGATTATAAAATGACAACCAATCAATTAAAATATTGTCATTTTAACTTTAGTCTCATGTTGTTCCACCTTTTTTGGTGGAACAAGAAATATCAATATTTGTCCCACTAAAATTAAAAACAGTCCCACCTTGTCTCATTTTTTTTTGTCCATGACATGCCAAACATGAGACTATTTTTTTGTCACGTCCTGTCCCATGTAGTCTGCATACCAAACACACCCAAACAACCTAATCCAACCCAACCTAACGTCACTTGATAGGAATTGTAATTCAAAATGTAAGAGCAACGCCTTGTCAAGGCAGACGTTGCGGGTTTGAGCCCAGTTTTATTTGTCTGTTCTTAGTTTTATTTTACTTAATTTAAACTCAATCACTTTAACTTGTAATTAGCAATTGAACTCCAAGTCTTTGACTAGACTAAATTAGCTAATTAGAAATTAGTTGTTAAAGTGTTTCATACTAATCGTGCTTTTGTAACAAATGAGGCATTGAAGTATATTGAATGTTCAAGCCAAATTGAATTCTATCGAGAAAGTATTTATGTCAATGAGTCGATGATATGCAATCCAAATAATTAGTTTATTGTTGCTCATTACTAGAGTTCTTCTATTGTTTAAAGCTTTAATTTTATTTTTATGCTTAGATTAATTGACATTCCAGCCCCCCCCCCCCCATATATATATACTACTTTTGATGAATTTGCACGTGATTGTGTCTTGGACTTACGATTAACATCGAATCCTTGAGGAGACGCCCCACTTATCACTATCACAAGTTGTGTTTTAAAGGTAATAGGCTTATTTTATAAACTTTATTATTTGTCGGACTCGACAACGTTCACCAACCCAATGCCTACGGCTTGGATTGGGTAAACTTGTACTTTTGTATTAGGTTAGGTTGGGTTGTTTTGTCCAGATTGAGTATTTTTAAACCACAACTATTGGATTGGGTTGTTCAAATGCTTTGAAACCCCGATCAACCCAACTCATGTACAACCTTAATTGTCAACAACCCCAACCGCTCCACACAGAACCCGCCTCCAAGTGTGATAACTGGGTCTTAGTTATCACCCCGAGTTAATTAATACGTGATTATTTGTTATATAATTACGTGAAATCATGATAAATTGTTATATTTAATCATGCGAATGTGTGAATTTTTATGCATAAGTATGTATGCATAATGTGAATGTATGCATAAATATATGCATAAAAATGTATGCATGAGACTATGTATGCATGCATGAAGTGAATCAGCCACATTTCCAACAGAGGAAAGGGGTATAAAAAGGGGTTGAGGGTTTTATAAGAAGGTTTCTGTTTTCTTTGAAACTTGAGAGTGAATTGAGAGAAGTGTTGTTCGGACTGCTTATTGATTGGATTCTTAAAGTTTGATTCAAATTGGTTTCAAAATAATTGCATACGGTGAGTGGCTTATCATCTTTTTATACTTTGAAAAGCATTTCTTTTGATATGAAAACTGAATTGTTCTACAAACTTGTTTACCCGGATTTGTCTGCAAATCGGACACTGTGTTGTCCGGATTTGGGAATTATTTGTCATAGTAATGACTGGATTAAGAGTTAGTGGGATTTTAAATATGAAGCTCAGACATGACTTGATCGGAGAAGTAGGAATACGATTCTAAGTGTTGTCCAGATTTGTCTTAGACCGACTAGCGTGTTGTCCGGATTAGAATAATATGGTTGTAGTATTGATTGGAGTTGAATAAGTCTGGTTATGAGTTGCCCGGATTTGATTATGTTGAAATATGTTTTAACATTGTTGACCGAATATATAATCCGGCCAAGTTAAAATGTTGTCCGGATTTGTGTTTTGGCTAAGTATTTTGATGATCAGTTGGGTTATTGTCATATCATTCTTTTTATATATAAATAAAGGATTAGTATTTTATAAAATTGTTTTGGAATTGTTCTTGGATAAAATATGAATGATATTTCACAGGACGTTTGTGACTACGGTCTGTCCTGATTGGAAATAATCTGTAAAACTTTGATGAAGAAAATAAGGGTGACATATCAAAGAGAGGTGTATCATATGATAAGGGTGACATATCAAGAATATATGTACTTTGGGATAAGGGTGACATATCAAAGAGATATGTACCTTTGAATATAAGGGTGACATTTGTATGTGTGTGTTATATGATATAACTCTTACTATTGTATCCATTAAGATTACGATGACTTTAAATCCTTATTTCTTTGTGATTTAAAGATTTAGAATCATGGTTCTTATTGGAAATCATAGTATAGATGTTATTGAGGAGATGATAACTGGCTTTTGGCCTGAAGCTTTGAATAAACCTTGTTTCTGATTAAAAAAGTTTAAAGTGGTATTATGTGAAACCTGGAAGGTTCTAACCTATTTGGTTTATGTTATTTATAAAGCCGAGTGATTGGCTTTGGTAATCAGAAAGGTATCGGTATTGTGGATTAAATGATCATGTATTTGTTTTACATGAAAAGTTGATTTAAATAAAGTTTTGGTAATATTTACCCTGCAATGACATGGAAAATGGGATCTCACTAGACCTTCCGGTATAACCCTCATTTTTATATTTAAATATGTATTGCAAGAACTGTTGACGGTAAGGTGAAAGGGAAAATATGACATTTTCCTATATGCATAATTTTGTGAAGATCAGTCTTTATTGCATTTGGTTTTGGTAGATGAATGTTGATTGTACTAGGAATGTATTTTGGAATTTTTGGACCATGTATTTTGTATGATAATTTCTTGTACATTGGGACCTGAGTGGTGTATAAACATGTATTTCTTATAAATGAAGTATATGTTACGTGCAATGTGTGATATGGGGTGTTACAAAGGACAACAACGTGTGGGCAATTTTTTTGCCTCATTCAGTGGCTGAGGCTAGCGGGGATTGAACCCGTAACATGTATTATATCTAGGCAAAGTCGTCCTGCTCCCAACAAATATAGGAAGAGATCAAACCCAAACACAATTTTTTGCAAAATCACAGGAACACATATACCATATGTGATATTATATATAGACGAAAAATCGTCTGAAAATATGAATTAAGTTGAGAAATGTAAGAAGAAATTTGGATCTCAAATCAACCCATGAATTATGTTTTAGAGGGAAACCATTTGGTGTTTTTCACTAGTGTTGATCTAGTAGAACTCTTAAATCATGATTGATCCAAGGGTGAAGATCATTTTTTATCCTTTCACACGCTTCATGTCATACTCATTCGCATCAAAACCCAATCCTATACACACGCACACACACACACACACACACATAGGTCAAAAAATCTTTACAACTAATCAATCAAAATCATAAACCTCTCCTACATGACTACCACCGCATGGAACCTTAATATATGTTGCATGAATACCACCACGTACAAAATTTAGATAGACAATGTTAGTTTAGAACATTGCTACGAATGAGTTCCACTGTTGTTTTCCTATGTACAAATAACGAGAGCATGAGCAGCTTACAAATATAACTTCAGAAATCATGCCAATGACACAAATTTTTCATAATATACAGACATAAAAACTTGTGCAAGTTATATATGGCATAGATATATCAAAGCCTTTTTCTATTTTGAGCCGAAACAAGTATACCAAAAAATGGACATCTCAAGTAATGTCTTGATCTGAATAACAATAAAATAGATGGTCCTGGTGTTTCTCATGCCCTGGACGAGAAGGTAAAATAATACCCCCACTATTTAAAAACTACAAATGAAACATACTATATACAGATGTTTAATTCGTCTTAAAACTTTGGAAAAGTGAATACTGTACGTGTAAGACAATTACGAATGGATTCCATAGATGCCTAAAGTTCACAAATTGACTGAATGCAAGGTTTTAAAAAGCAAAATTGGGCCTCGAGATGTTTTCCATCAACGAGGCGAGGCATAAGCCTCGAGGCAGATATATATATATATATATATATACACACACACCAAAATATGTATATAAACTACACAAATATATACAATGTACATATAATACTATATTACTTAGGGTGGGGAATAAGCATAAGGAAGAAGTCTTGAATATGCGGAATATAATTATAATGAAGCTCCTCATTTGATATAAGCTTATATTTACTGTATGGACTCAGATATGTGAATACAGATCACCATGCCAGGTAAATAGATTATTTATTAATGATATGGAAAAACCATGTTTGCATGGCCTGGACTGGATGCACCATGTACAATTTATGGAATATAGCTTTTCCATTGCAATTCTGGTTATAGAAGTAAACTTATACGTTACTGCAAATCCCAGTATTAGATGGAACATAGCAACAACATATACAAAATGACAATGAAGAGTTTACTTTTCTTAATGACAATGAATAGCAACAACCTAGTAGACAACCAATTACCACTCTTCATGACAGTGACACTGAACATTAAAATCAAGTTTAGCTCCATCTAACCATCGATCTTCAAGCACAATCCTTTTCTACAACCAAAGATAGTAGCCACTAAGAAATTTCAAGCTCAGTGGTAGAGCGGTCGGCTGGCTGGTAATTGACTAGTCAGGTGTAGGTTCGAAGCCTCCCTTCAACAAAAGCAGACTGGGTGGGGTAATGCTCTTTTAAAAGCATGCCTGAAGCAAAATAAGGCTCGAATGTTCTCAGTTTCGGTACATAGACCAAATAAGACAGGTTGACTTTCTTTCATTTTGGTTATGGAAAGTGAAAGTTCTTTCAACTAGATAGACAACACGAGAGAATATCCAGACGTTTCAGTGGCAATTCCACCCAAAAGGTAAGGGTTACTCCACAAGTTTTGATCGGTTAATAACATGGTAATTAACCAAGGTTCATCTCGTGTAGTGATTGTGGACTCGTACAACCAAAAAAGGGCTTCCGTCCTCGAAACTAAACATGAAGCAGCAGTGGGGTGAATTTTGAAGTTTTAAGTTGTAATCTAACCAGGTCATAAGGAACCAAATATAGCATCTTACCTTACAAAATTATACAACTCAAATGACATGTTACTAGGCAAAGAACAACTTCGTGTACAAAAATAACAATGAAACCAAGCAAGTGATAAATTAAACTAACAGTAAACCAAATCATAGAACCATAGAAACAAAGATGGGTTTGAGGATAATACCTTTGAACAATCGTTGCAAGAGTCTTCAAAACAGCTTCAACTTAACCACATTTCGAAAACCTTCTTCTTCCAGATAAAAAAATCGAACAGATAAATAACTGAAATGAAAAACACCTATTTCAATATTAAAATCTGGAACAAAACATGTTCCTAACCGTAACAAAAATCAAACACATGAACGAACAAATCTATTTCAATATACGATTGTTCTTAACACTTTTCTTAAATCTGATTTATAAGATTGGTAAAGATATAGATATGACATAAAACTACCGAAATCCAACCAATCCAAAGGGGTGTTGGAGATTGCTTATTTGAAACAACTTATGTTTTTCTACAAAAATACTTATCAACTTTTTATAAATCAAAATGTTTTAACTTCTTCAAAAACTTCTTATTACTATTTTGACACCAATATAAATTATTTATCCAAACACTCAAACACGCCGAGTAAGAAATAATTCAAAATCCGAATCTCAAAATTGAGCACTTGACTTTCCATATTTCGTTCCAGGGGGTTACAAACCAAATCTGAAAATTCCCACCTGGGTCATGTGGGTCCCACCTCGGGGGTTAAATTTCGAGCTCAAATTGACGCCTTCTCTGCTCATCAGTCTTCACTCGTCGACGCTGCTCCTAACTACAATCCAACAATCTGTGTCTTAGAATTGAACATCAATGGCGACTCTTCGATTTCACCATCCACTTCCCACATTTACTCCTATTTCATCCCCTTTTCCAAAAACCCAAATTCAAAGAACCTGTCTGTTTAATCTACACACTGCTGGAGCTTTCAAGCATTTGGTCACTGCTGCTCACCCAGATGGATTCGTACCCGGCTCCATTTCCAAAACCGCATCGTTCGCCCAGGTTTTTATTTCTGCTTGATGCCGTTTATTCGATTAATCGTTTTTATAATCGTTTGATTTTTGTTGGATGTAGTTGATTGAGTCGTTGATTGATAGAAAGAATTTGACCGAGGCAGAGGCGGAGGAGTCTCTCGATTTTCTACTGCATGATGCCAATGATTCGCTGATAAGTGCTTTTCTTGTTCTTTTGAGAGCCAAAGGTGAAACTTATGAAGAAGTAAGTTCAATAATTGTTGCAAAGAAAAATGAAACAAAAAGGTGTACGCCAAATTGAATATGATCTCTTGCTAGATCTTGATTTTGACTTTGTATCAGACACATGTCTAGTTTGACCATAAAAAGTCAACTTATAGCCCAATTTTAAGCCAAGGGAGTTTATTGAAACTAATATTGATTTCACTTTTGATGGATGAGTCTAGATATATGTGTTGCCCTTGTGTAGTCTGGAGTTCTTTGTTTCCTCAATGAATGTGTATCTTATGCATCTAAGGGGCCGGTTACTGAAAGCTTACCGGTAAGAGTCACCATCCACTCTTGCCTTGTTGAATAACATTGTCGGCCATCAAAATGAATTGTTTAGCTAGCCTAGGTTGTTGCTATGCCTCTTACCGGGTAAGATTCTTGCCCTTGCCATACTTGCCTGGTAAGGTAAGTGGCCTGTTAAGTGCTTACCCAACAAGCGTTTGGTAAACGGCCCCTAAGATTCAACAAAAATAGAAAGCAGTGCCGAAAGCACAACCGCTCTACTCTCCAGGGTAGAGGACATATTTGCAAACATCAACAACCGCTCTACTCTATGGTGGGGTAGAGAGCATGGTCTGCGTACATCAACAAACTACACTCTGCTCCCTTGGGGGTAGAGGACAGGTTTGCGTACATCCCATCTTAAACGCCACCTCTGGGTAGGGTGGGCTTGGGGTAGAGAACATGTTTGCATACATCAATAACAACTCTGCCCTGTGGGGTAGAGGTCAAGTTTGCGTACATCAATAACCACTCTACTCTCCAGGGTAGATGACAGGCCTGCGTGCATCCCACTTCATACCCCAGCTCTGGTGGGATATGTTGGGCTCGGTTAGTTGGGTTTAGAAAACAGTATTGACATTGGATTACTTTTTGGGTGGTTTGAGATGTTTTTGATGGAGATTACGATTCATCTACGTTTGAGATGAGACTAAGTTTGATAGACTTTTTTGAAGTGCTCATTGAGGGATTTAAATGTTTGGGATCATGATTGCGCAGGTGGTGGGATTGGCGAGAGCCATGATCAAACACTGTAAAAAGGTAGAAGGATTAGGTGATGCTGTGGACATTGTTGGAACCGGTGGTGATGGTGCAAATACCGTTAATATCTCAACCGGATCATCAATACTAGCAGCCGCTTGTGGAGCAAGAGTTGCAAAGGTGGCTTTTTTCTTTCAACTTGTAGGTTAAATTTGGTACACGAGATAGAACAGGACAAGGCGGTGCAAAAACTTGTTGTCCCACGTTTGGTGTGACTTAGACCGAGACGGGACAGGACTGAGTGGGACAAAACACATTTTTTCTATTCCACCAAAATAGGCGGAACAAAAACGAGAGAGAGATGAGACAAATTTGGTAAATTACTAAATTACCCATGTTCGGATTAAAACCCTAAAACCTTCCATAGTTTTTTTCACCTGCCTACCTCACTCTCGCCCATCCACTCCTGTCTAATCACGTCCATATACCAAACTCAAACATAACGAATAGAAATCAAAGCATTTTCTGTGTCTTGGGGGTGTTCTTGAAAGATTATGTTACATCGAGGTTATAATGATCTAAATCATGTGGTGCAGCAAGGGAATAGGTCAAGCTCATCTGCATGTGGAAGTGCTGATGTATTAGAAGAATTGGGTGTTGCGATTGAATTAGAACCTGAGGTTTGTTGAATTTCTTTAATTTGGTTTAATTGCACTTTTCAAGCTGCTATCTATTTAACCTTCCTTCAAGCTTGTGACTTCAAAACCGAGCCAATTGTCGTTTCGCCATGATCTAGCTATTTATATCAGGAGATTATTTTCGACATTTGTAGCTACCAACTATCGAATTAAAAGGAAAGAGTGATTGATTCGTTGAGCCAGAATGAAACATTGCAAAGAAATCATTGTAGTTAGCAAGCATGAACAAGTTCGGATAGAAAATGCAAGCAGGATTATGTTTTGGCCTTCACATTCTAATAGTTATTCAAAATGCTTCATTGTTAGAGTTCTTTTTCTTTCGGCATTTTTACAAGAAAAACCAAAAACATAGTAAATCATATCATGCCCATCAAGAACTAGAATAGAATCAACCAAAGGGCCAATTACCTTTCAAAAACCCGTTGGGTCTTTATGGCTAAGACCTACTAAAGTTGCTGTCAGAACCATGATCAAGAACGTGCGAAGATGGTCAAAACCGTGATCAAGAACGTGTGAAGATGGTGAGAACCTTGATCAAGAATGTCCTAAGATGGTCAGAACAAAGATCAAGAATTCCGAAGATGGTCAGAACCATGGTCAGGAATGTCCTAAGATGGTCACAACCACGATCAAGAATGTCCTAATATGGTCACAATCATGATCAATTGAAAGCAATTATGAATTTGGTATTGTTTCGATTCATAAAGGTCACTTTCATCTGTTGGTGCATTGCAATAATTTGTAGTGTATGTGTAAACATGAGGGAAGTGAACATGTATAGATTTGAATGACCAAAGGGTCATTGGCCCAATATTATCCATGATATTGGTAAATCCCAACCTCCATGGAGGTCAAGGGTTCAACCTTCCCCAAAGGTGAGAAGCGTGTGTGTGTTTTGCCTTATATATTTATATACTTGAGAACGTATAGATTTGAATGAGGTTTTCATATTGCATATTAAATAAAGCTATTAAATTTCTTGGACGTATTTTGTCCAATTTGTTATCCGTTGGATTAGGGGGTCAAAAGGTGTGTGGACAAGGTGGGAATTGGTTTTATGATGTCTCCGATATACCATCCTGCTATGCAAATTGTTAGACCTGTGAGGAAGCAGCTCAAAGTGAAAACTGTATTCAACATCCTCGGTCCTATGTTAAATCCAGCAGGTGTATCTTTTGCAGTTGTTGGTGTCTACAAGGAAGACCTAGTAAGTGCCTCTACCTTTATGTTGCATGAATTGAAACATTAATATCCCATTAATATATGATCACACATTTGTACAAGCAAGGAGTCCCCACAAAAACAACCGCACTCTCTAGCCTCTAGGGTAGAGGACCCCAACCTTGTTTTCAAGTGGGATATACCGGGTTCAGTGGGTTTGGCTAGTTTCTTGTTAGTATGTGGATGATTCTAGCCTTCATACTATGTTACTATGCCACTTTTTGGGTTTTCCCACGTCTCTTTTTTGCTTGTGTTTTGCAAGCTGGGGGTCTTAACGGAAACAAGCTCTCTATCTGGGGGTAGAGGCAAGGTGTGCATACATCCCCGCCCCTACGTATGTGTGGGATATACTGGGTTTGTTTGGCTTCTAGCCTTTGTTTACCTATATGACTATCAAATTTTGGTTAGTAAATTAGGTCATGGTTCTTTTATGATTAGCTTGAATTCATATGTTTGACTATGCTTTTTATATTGCATAGGTTCATAAAATGGCAAAAGCACTTCAACGCTTCGGCATGAAAAGAGCACTAGTTGTCCACTCTGAAGGCTTGGATGAAATGAGTCCGCTTGGTAATATCAGCTATATGTTCTTTTTTATAATGAGTTATATCAACATTTCAAACCGTAAATGTGTTAGCTGTTGAAATGCTGATCACTCTTTCCGTGTTCCAAACCTATATCTTGATTTTTCTGATCTTTTTTCCAATTTCAGGGCCAGGGCTAGTCCTTGATGTTACCCAAAACTCAATTGAGAACTTCTCATTCGACCCACGTAAGTCTCTTACATTTTCTTTGTTAATATGATTCCATGAGTTCTACAGTTCCATGTGTCGAGACCAGTGATCTTACATTCGCTAATATGACTTCACATTCGCTAATATGACTTCCATCTACGACTGCATCTTAGAGGCCATTTACCAACTCAATTTGGGTAAACACTAACTGAGTAACAGTGCGGTCTGCGTAAGAGGTTTGGTCTTCGCAAGCCCGACTGGAAATGGTTGTTTACCAAGTGTTTGGTAAGTGTTGACCGAATCAAAATCGATCAACATATTTGTGGGTTAGAGTGTGTTAGGCAAACAACATCTCTTCTTACCGGATATGCACCTCTTACCCAATAAGAGACGGTCAGCTGGTAATAAACAACCCTTAGTCAAAAATCCACTCGATACCAATTGGTATCGAGTCAGAGTCTTTGACTATCTTTTATCATATTATTTTGTTGAGGACTCGTTATGCCTACTTCTATATGGTCTTTGTGTTCCTTTTATATGTTCTCGATGTTTAAACTAAACTCAAGATGTGTGTTCTACAGGGGACTTCGGGATGCCACGTTGTACAGTAGATGACTTGCGTGGTGGCGATCCCAAGTATAATGCGGAAATGCTAAGACGTGTATTATCGGGAGAAAAAGGATCTATTGCTGATGCATTTGTAAGTCTTTCGTTTATAAAGTTCAAATATATATATTCTTTATATCGAAAAAAGTTCAAATATTACACATATTTTTGTTCACATTCGATGTGATAATGGTTCAAAGTTCAACCAAATTTAGCCAAACTCCATTTTGTGTTGGTCTTAACGGAAACAGTCCCTCTACCCCTTCGGTAGAAGAAAGCCTTGCATACATTCTTAAATCCCTGACCTTAAATCCCATCAGAGGTAAGGTTTGGGAGTAGGATGTACGCAAGCCTTTCCTCTACCTCAGGGGGCAGATGATCTGGGGATAAGATGCATTATAACAAAATTGTTTTTATAGGATGCTAAATATGTCTAAATGTCCTTATAGACTACTTTATAAGATTAAGTTTATAGGACCAAACATTTGTACGTCCTATGTAAAAATGTTACAATAAGTTGATAATACGTTGTTGGGTGTTCTAACAAATTTTTGTCCCCTAAAAGCCACTTTTTCAAACTATGTCATATAAAAAGACCAATGAGAAGCTTTATTTCAGAAAGGTCCTAACAAGCCCAAAAATCTTCTATCAATTTATTGTAACATTTTTACATATGACGCATTTAACCCTATAAACTCAAGTTCTATAAACAGTCTTTCAGGATAGTTGGACATATTTGGCGTCCAATAAAACCTGTTTTGTTATAGTGATGTATGCAAACTTCATTGATCGTAAATCCCAAAACGAGCGAGCATTTATCAACGAGAAAGTGTGGTCAGGCATTGAACGCGGCGGCCGCCTTGTTGGTGAGCGGATGCGTAGATAGCCTAGGAGAGGGAGTAGGTGTGGCTCGGGAGACGTTAGAATCCGGAAAAGCGATCACGACCCTTGACTCGTGGATAGAGATCTCCAACAACTCCATTGTAAGTCATCTCTATTGGTTCTTCTTTCAAGTTAGTAATTTACATTTTTACCCTTGATGCATTTCTGCAGGTGATGGCATGAACTTTGAATTATAATGTTGAAGGTAACAGATCTGTTGTAGATTAAGGTTTCCTTTCTTTTCAGTTTTATAGGGTTCAATGATGTGGTTTTGTCATTTTCCCTTGTCTTAAAAGGGATTGGAAAGTTTTGTAACTTGTTCTTTTATTTTGAAGAAGATAAATACTGATATCATACAATAAACCAATCAAATTTGTTAAAAGTAATAAGATGTAATTGTAACCTTGTGCGTTGGTATAAATCAATTCATGTTATTTTCTTTTGACGGAAATGTAGCGTTCGTCTAAAACAACGCTATTATTTATTAAAACATTCATCTATGTTTGAGCAAAAGGTTGATCACCCACTGTACTTGACATCAACTTTTAAGACGGAACTAATTGTAATTGGTATGTAAAACCTTATATCGTGTATCAACCGAGTGTACTTGATATCAACTTTTTTCGGTTGGTACTGGTTTTGTACCAACTTCATATTACAAATATGAAAACTTGCCATTTTGTTCAAATTTTGAGTGACGTGAGTTTTCAGACACATTTGATGGTTAAAGGTGTTTATTTGTAAGAAATAAAACTTGCAAACATTCAAATGCTCAAATAAAATAATTAAAGTTAGAAAGTTTAATATTTAATGCATAAAAAAATCAAAAACTAGTAAATATTTAAATAAGTCAGTAACATAATACTATCATAGTACATGACTTCTAATATCGTGTATCAACCAAATGTGCATACTTGGTAAGGTACTACCAACTAAATATAATAATTTAAATGATACGGTTGTTATATATATATATAGACTTGGGATCATGTGAGACCAATGGTTTTTCGTGAGACCCGTAAGACCAATTCTCAATCTTTGGATTAGATTTACAATCGTCAGATCTGAACATTTATAAACGCCACGAGACTTCTCACTAATTACGAAATTGCCACCTTGCAACTTTGCAACCATTAAATCATTAATTCATAAATTTGATCAATGAACATAAATTGGTCTTACGGGTCTCACGAAAAACCATTGGTCTCACGTGAACCCGACCCTATATATATATATATATCGTGTATCAACCAAATTTGTTCAAACACTTGCAGACCTCTAATTTAATTTACATATTTGGTCCTTGTACTTGTAGATCATGTTCAGATTTTTTATTTATTTATATTTTGACCCCTTCGTAAGTTGAGAAGTTGCTACTTCCAGAGGTAGTGACATTTTGAAGTTTTTTGGAGAGAAATAATTAAGAAGTAAATTTGTCTGGCCATTCATAGTATCTGAAGGATGAAAACCAACTATGTAGCATCTACGCCGAGAATTCAAGTATTGTATACGCCATTAATCTGATTATTTGTAGGAACTACCCGTAATAATGAACTTGTAAAACGAATCTATATATCATAAAGAGATTCGTTATTTCTAATCCTGCTTCACCTTAATTGTTATGTGAACATTATTATGACAGACATATTGAGGGTTTTCTATTATGTAGATACTGTGGACACTTTTAAATATTTGTATGTAAATTTTAACTATTTTTTTTTAAATTTAAAATAAACTTAACGACGGCAAAAACTACTTCCATCGACCAAAAGGCGTCGATGTAGGTATAAAATAACCATCCTGAAATTAAAACTGTCGCTCCTTTCGGAAAAGGCAAACCGTCGGTCATCATATGCGTTAAAAAACCGTCGGTTAATAGCCGTCAATAACGGTGATTTTTTGTGAAAATAATATGGTTTTCCTTTTGATGTATACATTTTACACAAAGTTTACGACCGCTAATGGATATATTAGGCCGTCTGTTTAAGGATGTTGCAGAACCATTGATAAATGTCGTCGATAAGCCGTCAATTAGTCTTCGTTCTCGATATAACATGATTTATTATTTTGTTTTCAGAAATGTTGGAAAAATTTGCAATGTTCTATCACCGCTTTCGCCATACCATTGATTTTAAAAATACGTCAGTATGGGCCATCGGTTGTACCTTACCTACCATTTTTGCCAATGATGAAAGTCTTCCACCTAAATAAGGTCGGTAATTGTCTTTATTGATAGCAAAAAATAGTCCGTTTTTGTAGTGATTTGCACGTTTTCATAATCTCGTTTTAGGTCTTTCTTTTAAACATCTGATGGCAACAAGGTTAAATGGAGGATCAAGCTAACAATTACGCTTGTTGCAAGTACATTTTCAAAAATGATTGGTAAACCACGAGAAACTGTGGATGAAAACAACGATTGTTTCTAAGCACAAAATTAGCAATTTGTAGCAAGAAAAATGAAAAAAAAAATGCACGCTTTTCTGTGAGTTTTAGAGAAATGACTCCCAATTTCGTCAATCGGTTCTGCTAATTGGTGGAATCCACTTTTTATCGATTGATATGCCTAAATCAACAGAAAAGTCAAACAATTCGTATATCCTGAAAATTCAAAATTTTGCCAATTGGAGGATCTTTGGCGGAACACATGTGTTGGCTTTTGAGTGGTTGGCGGAGAAATACGACAATTTGGTAGAAAACGCTAGTTTGGTGGAAATCCTAAGGTAAAACTCATGACAAATAGTTGTACTGGCTGAGCAACTCTAACATGACTCTGGTTATTTTTATTATGTCTTTGGTTTAATGAGTGCGAGTCGAAAGAAAATCCAAACATCAGTTAATCACAATTGTCGCATCAATATCCTATGGTTTTTGGACAGTCTACTACAGTTAGATATACACGAGCGCGTGGCTTTTTTCCTCCATGAACGCGTAAGACATGCATTTTTTAGGCAGAAGAGTTGCTTGCAGGTGTGAAGCTTTTGGACATGCGGGCATGTGGGCGAACACTTTCACTTTTTTGGAACCACAAAAGTGGTGTCTGATTAGTTTGAGTTTGCATCCAAAGGCCAAAAGTACCAGGAGGTCCCAGGTTCAAATCTAAGGAGAAATAAAAATCCCCTTGTGGCCACGGATGTTCAAATGCGATGATTCTAGGCTATCTGCAAAACATGTGGTCGTCCTGGGATTACTCGTCTCACATAGCGGGTTAGATATCCAGGTTAATTAAAAAAAAAACCTTTCACCTTTTTGGCTTCATCAAGTTTACACTTCATTTTTCCCCTTTCGAATGCTTTCTCATAATAAAGGGAACTCTCGGGATAAATTCCACAAGATAAACATGTTTAGATATTACTGATTTCATTTTTTCATTCTCCAAATACACACAATGACTAAGTCACCATACTTGTGATTTTATTCTTTCAAGATTGTCGATTTTTCCCAATTTGGATTCCATGTAAACCACGGTATCGTCTTCTGACTCTCTCTCTTTACTCTATATTGGATGCATATTTAGTAGGCGAATCATCATATATATATATATATATATATATACACACACACACGTTTTGGGAACATTTTCTTGTGCATAAAGAACATCCCTAAGTATTCAAACTCGAGATTTATTTATCCCGTGTTTTAGTTTAGTCAAAATTTCTAATTTGTGATTAATTTAAGCGTTATCTCCTTTCCGTTATACAACAAAATCACAATTCAAAGAGCCCTTCACTTTATTTCACATTTGTTCACAACATAATCATACAAGAGTTTACACTCAAAGAAATAATCAATTAACATCATAAGATATAATATAAACGATTTAAAACAAACCCAAAAACAAAAAAACCGCGAAACTTATTATAACCGTTAGATTGGTTACTTTTGTGGTTCATCAGCCGGTAGCGAGGAAAGAAATTTCTTGAGACACCGGCTATAGACGCACGGTCGTTCAATGTGAACAAGATGACCCGCGTTTTTAATCCCTTCAACCGTTGCCTTCTCTCCCAGTTGCCTGTAACCGAAAAACCAACATTAATTTGGTATAAAATAAATAGAGTAAGGTTAAAGATAAACAGAAAACGGGAAATCCAACCGTTCGATTGATTGATCAAAGAGATGTAATTAAAGGAGGGTTATAACTTTATTTTTACGTTAAAAATTCCCCCCCCCCCTTTGTTTTTTAATCGAAAAATGATGTAATCAAAATTGAAGCGGACTTTGATTTTTATATAAAAAAAATGCAAAAAAAAAAAAGAAAAGAAAACTAAAATGTCCGTCACTTAACGTTGTTTTCTTAATCGTGTTTGAAGGAAGGGATTGATACAAAACGTTTTCGCAAACCATGATGACTAAACCGTATGAACAAAAACCAAGGAATTCCAAAAAGTACAGGGACCAAAAACGTAGTTTACTCTTATCTTTAATATTTGACATTCATATTATTATGATTTTTTGCACCCTAACTTTTTTCATCCGTTTTATCGTGGTTTTCTGATTTCAATTTCTTCAGGTTTTCCTTGAACGCAACTCAAATTTAGTATCGTTCAAAGCAACTTTTTTTTTTGATTAACCTGGACATCCAACCCGCTCTATGCGAGCCGACTAATCGCAGGACGATCATCTGCTTTGCAGATAGCCCGGAGTCACCGCATTTGAACCTCCGTGGCCACAAAGGGATTTTTATTCCTCCTTAGATTTGAACTTGGGACATCCTGGTACTTTTGACCTTTAGAGCTTAAGCTCAAACCAACCAGACACCACCCTTGTGGTTTTGTATATCCTACATTCATTGTGAGCTATATTGGGTTTGTTTGATCTGGTTTGGTTTTGGTAGAGTTCCAATCAAAGATTAACAATTTGTAACAAAACAATTCTCATAAAATGAAACGAGTCACTCGATCTCAAACTCAACCATGGTTACCATTTCATGTTCTGAGCGAGCTCCATCTTGAATATTTGATCATTCTCGCCCCACAAAAGATGTATTCTCTAAAAAAAAATTAATCATCTCAAACCGTTATGTGAATAATCTAATATAAGAGACAACCCAAACAGACAAAAGGGGTATTATACCTGTGAGAACTGTGGGATGGTATCGTCTTTGTTGCTAATGATCAATCCCTCTAGTAACTCGCCTCTTTCTTTTCTGTTGTTAAACATTACCTACATACCATATGCAAATCAGTTAAACGTTTTTATTTTATTTTAATCTCAAACCAACCTATGAATAAAAGAATTGATCTGATGTATCTCGCTACACTTGATCTAGTGGGTCTCTTCAATTAGCATTGATCCAAGGGTGGAAATCCCTTCTCACCAGAACCCAACGTATTTATCATTTCATACCAATTATTAATAAGGGACTAAAATTGGCAATAAGGAATAGTTAAGGGGTAGAATTAGAAACAAGTGAAACCTCGAGGTAATCCTTATGGAGCCGATCAGGAAACCAGAGCTTCTTATGGGTGGCAACAGACAAAAGCGCCTTCAAACCCTTGACGGAATCCGGCAACAAAAGCTCCGACGACGACGAAAACCCTAATTCTTTCATTGTCGAATCACTGATCGAATCAGTCATAGCAAGTATCGAACCCGAAACCACCATGGCTCGAACCATTTCAGGGTACAACTCCGCCATTTTAAACGCCACCATCCCACCATAACTGAACCCCACCACCACACACCGCCGTACTCCCAGCTTTCTCAGCCCTTTAACCAAACACTCCGCCTGAAACCTAGGAGACCGATCGGGGTTGTCGGAGATTGACCCGCCGAAGAAGAGGAGATCCGGCACGTATACAGAGTATTTCTTCGTGAGAGCCCCAATTTGGAACTGCCACGTAGCAATTCCCTCGGCGGCGAAGCCATGGACTAACACCACGACAGGCTTATCTGGTTTGGGATCGATTGTGGTGGTGGTTGTGGTGTTTGATTTTTTGTTGGGTTTTTGAAGGGTTTCATTTGGGACCCAGAAATTCATGAGTGTTCCAGGTTCAATTTCGACGGTATGGGTTTGGACTCCGGCCATTTTCATCAACGCGATAATCAACGGCTGCTGTAAAGCAACAAAGTTCACCATTTTTGTGAGAGAGATGAATGGAGTGAGAAAGGGAGGAGGGAGATGGGTATTAAGTAGGCGGGGGGAAGGTGAAGTTGGTGTTGGCAAGTTATCTGTTTCAAACTTTCGGCCTTTGACTTTGTGTTTTATTTATACACTACACTCGACTAGAATTTAATATATTAGTTAGTATATATTTGTTTCATAATGTATTTTTTTTTAAGTATATAATATTTATATATGGTAAATAGAACAAATAAACTCACACACCCTCATCACCTTTGGTGATGTTTGAACCTTTGACTTCCTAGAAGACCAATGACTCACATACCGCTAGGCCAAAAGCCATTTGGTTTGTTTCACAATGTATTTGTTTTATATGTATCCGATTAACAATGTGAAAATTTTGAATTGTATTTTTTGTTTCACAAACACATAAAAATGTTAACATTGTAGAAACAAATATATGTTAATCAATACAATAAAGTCCAAGTCATAGATGGAAAAAATGATGTGAAATAACATATGATGCACCAATTCTCAAAGTTATCATAATTTTGTGAGTTCTCAAAATGGTGGCCCATAATGTAGACACTTATTTTGGGAGGGATATATTCTCAATTGAAGGCCTAACAATTTAATGTTAACTTCTGTTAACAGTCCATGCTAACATTTGTTAACATTTTTACGTTTCTATCAAGTTTTGATTTCATAAGCGTTACTAAGAGGCCGTTTATTAAACGCTTACCTGGTAAGTACTTATCGGGTAATTTTCCTCACCGGATGAACATGGCAAGAGCCAAGAATCTTACCCGGTAAGAGCGATGATAAAGATGGAGAGTCTTACCCGGTAAGAAAGGGTAACAACTCTTACCCATGTAAGCGCTTACCAGGTAAATTGTTGTATATGATACATTTTGATATACTATAACTTTACCCAATAAAATAAATTATAGTATTGACTCCTAACGTTAAACACTTACCGGGTAAGTATTTAGGTAAACGACCCCTAAGTTTATAAAGGACAACAACACTTTTTAGAATCTAGTCATGACTAGTGAAGACCGTTGGGTCCAACTCAATCTAAAGATTGGTTTGGTCCTTAAGATAGGGTTTGGTATGCATATATGATTGAACTGGACTCGACTAGACATAACTGGACATGATAATGGGAACATGACTGGACAAGAGAAGTTGTGTGTCTGGTGTTTGATGTAGTTAGAACTGGACAAATTACCCCTAAAAATTGTTTCATGATTTTATATATCATATAATAATTACAAATAACAAAAATAAATAAATATTTTAATAATTTAATACATATTTTTATACAATATTCATATACATAATGACATGCATATATAATAGTACCAAATTTGAAAAAGAAATTTGATATAGTAGATGGTAGTTTAAAAAACCAGTTCGTACAAATAAAACATATGTTTTATTTGGTTTTAGAAGATCGTTAGATGTAGTGACGATTGAATGAGATGGTGGTGGTTAAGGTAGATGCGGTAGTGACCGACATGGTGGTTACCGATGATGGTGGAACTGGAGGTGGTTATTGTGGCGGAGACGGAGGTTGGCGGCAGTGTTGAGGGGTAGAGGTAGAAGTAGTGATTTTGGTGGAGGTAGAGGCAGTGGTGGCTAGTGGATTACGGTGACTATGGGTGACGTAAAGATGATGGATAGTGGTGGTGGTTATGGTCAATGTGGTAAAAGTAGAGATGGCAGTAGGTGCGGTAGTGGTAGCGACAACGGGTGGCCAATGATTGTTGTGGAGGTGATAGAAAAGAGGTTGTAGTTGAGGTGACCGCTGATAGTGGCTGCGGCGATGGACGGTAGTAACCATAAAATAAATACCATATTAAGGTTATATCAAATGAGGGTAAATCTCATTGTGATAGTGAAGATGAACAATGGTGGTAGTGATGGCAATAGGCGATGCTAGCCGATGGTGGTTATGGCGGAAGACGTTGAGATTGTGGACAACTGTGAATATAAAGGTGGTAGTTGTAGAGGAGGTGGAGGTAAACAGTGGTAGACGATGGTGGTGGATGTGGTCGACAGTGATCATCGGTGGTTGCCACGGAAGGTAGACGATGGTACTAATTTTTTTTCAAACGTTTGACTATAAGAAACAAATATACGGAACTTTTTTTGAAACGGTGACACCATTTGACTAAGAAAATGACACTAACATGATTCGAACTTGGGTCTGGAGTGGAATAAAAGCCTTGCAAACCAACTCTACCAAATAAAACTTGTTCTCATTATAGTTTCAAAATACATACGGTGGCACACAACAAATTAATACGGTTGCACCGTTCACGAACCTAAAATTTTTACCTTTCGACGGAGAAATAATACGATGACACGTTGCACACCTATACCACATATCTGGGTCCGTCCCCGGCTACCGATCGATATCTCAACTAAAACCTATCATCATTGATTACCAAATCAAATATAAAATATGATATACAATACACATTGAATAACCCCAATGGCAATAAATACACTATACGACTTACAAGTTACAACAGGAAACCAATTAATGGTTTCCTCTCGTTTCGTCCCATCCGACCATCAAATTGATTTGTTGACGACAATTGGTTTTTTAGCGTCTTATGGTTGTCGGGAAAAAGCATGTAGTTTCGGAATTAAATTAAAATCGGTATTTATTTAATTTGGTTTTTTTGAAATTAAATTGTTTGCTCAAACCATCACATTTAGTTTTGGAATTAAATTAAAATAGGTAAACCACAAGGGTGGTCCCAGGCCCGTTCTTGACATTTGTTAGGCCCTGACCGAACGTAAAAATAGGGTCCACTGCAAGAAATAAGGCAATGACTTTTGTCGTTGCAAAAAGTTCATTTATAATCAGAAAAAGTATATAACAACGACATGCTATAACTTATAGCGAAAACATATCATCTCTAAAAAATGCATCGTCAGAGTTCACTTTTCTTGTAATGACCCTCGGTGAGTACGAAAAAAATTCAATAATTTTTATTCATCAGTATAAAATTGAGTACAAGAAATGCTAATAATTTAGCGAGGAAAGAAATCTTGATAACAATAAATATGTGTTATTTTGATACAAAAAGAGAATTCGTGTGAATGAAGTAATCATTAGGGTCAATGAGACATCAATAATAAATAAGATTATCAAGGTTTTCTATACAAGTAGATAAATAAGGATCAATAAGAATATGAAAGAAAAGATGATCCATTGAGATCCAATAAGAATAAATAATGAATTAAACATATAATATGCAAGCTCAACAAATGATTATTTGAGCCCTTAAATAGAATATTGTGGTGTGGTGAAATCTCAATGAAAGATACATAAGTCAAATAATTGATGAAAAATATCTAAATTCTATTTTTCTTTTTTCTTTGTTCAACTAAAATAAGATGCTAAGATTAAAAGTTTATAGAACATGATATATATAAGAGACATTACTAAATACATTTAGTTGAAAATATTTATTCATTAATCATAAAATCATGAAACACGTCATAAATTATAAGAACAATAGATTGATTGTCAAACAATAGTAAAATATTTTATGTAGAAGCAAAAATAGATAACAATAGTCAACAAAAACAATTAGAACAAGATAACCAAATAACAATAATCAATAGAAACAAAAATCGATAAAAATATCCAACAAAAACATATAGCAATAACAAGTACATGATCTTAAAGTTGAAGCACAAAAACAGTCAAGCATATAGAGATAGCAATAGCCAATATCATTGGATCTTATTGGAGATAAAAAAAATTAAAGAGACAATAAACAATAGCATATAATGAATGACCAATTAAATTTTTTTATTTTCTTTTTGAATGTAATTAGTTGATATATTTTTGTGCCCTTATTATCTACTAAATTCTTTTTGCCTCTTATTATATGCTATAATTTTTTGGGTTTTTTTTTAATTTATTAAATTCTTTTTAACTAATATTGTATTTTAAGGAAAAAAATTGGGCCCCTTGATACTTTTGGGTCCTGGGCGTGCGCCCCGTGTCGCCCTCCCTTAGGGACGGCCCTGAGGGTGGTGTCTGATTGGTTTGAGCTTGACTCCAAATATCAAAAACACCAGGAGGTTTCAGGTTCAAATCCAAAGAGAAATAAAAATCCCTTGTGGCCCCGGAGGTTCAAATGCGGTGACTTCGAGCTATCTGCAAAGCATGTGGTCGTCCTGAGATTAGTCAGCTCGCATAGCGGGTTGAATATCTAGGTTAATAAAAAAAACAAAAATTAAATAGGCATTTATTGAGGCTACTTGTTTTTGATGTAACTATATTCTAGTAAATGATATTTCTTAAAGAGTTGGATTATATCTTGATTGGTCAAACTTAACTTGCAACTTAACTTGAAAATGATTGCAATAATTAAAGAAAATTTTTAACTGATATTTTTAATTTGTATGATATTTTTTTAATTATAAAATTAAATTAAGAATTTATAATTAAAAAAATATATTTATAGAAAAATTATTTGATAATCCCAGAAAAATTAATTTTTTTAAAAATTATAATTAATTTATATTTTCTCTTTGTATTTTGATACATTTACTATAATTGTCCATATTTATTTTAGAAATTAAAGTGGTAGGTGCAAACATGATTTTGGAGTATCTACCATGGTCAAACCTTTAAAGATTTCACTTGTTACACTTTCTTTTTCTGTCACCTCAATAAAATAAGAATCTAGGCATGACAACGGGACGAAGATGAGACGGGTTTTGTAATCCCTGCCCCCGGTTTGTAGTAACGTCCCCCGGTCCCGGCCCCGGTCCCTGACGGGTACGGGGATTATTATCCCGTCCCCGGTCAAATCTCTAGCAATCCCCGATCAAAACCCGGTAAAACCTCAGTCAAACCCTTTAAATAGTATCATTTATTTTGATTATACCGGGGATCCCCGGCCCCGGGACCCATGAAGAATCTCCGTCCCCGTTCGGGTCGGGTGAACCGGGTTCCCCACCGGGTCGGGACAAATCACCAT